GAAAAGCTAGAAAGTTGGAACTTTGGAGGAATGTTCCCTACTCATGTACGACCAAAAGTTTTCAAATTCAGCTCCTTGGGACAACCCGGGGCTCACGTACGGGCACGTGAAATTTTTTGGCGCGAGAATCACTAACTCAGGAACGGGAGAAGCTAGAAAGCTGAAACTTTGGGGGAATGTTCTCTACTCATGTGCGAGCAAGTTCAGGTGTTTAGAACCGCCCGGGGCTCACGTACGAACACGTGGAAATTTTGACGCGAAAATTACTAATCCGGGGGCGGGAAGAACTAGAAAGCTGAAACTTTAAGGGAATGTTCCCCACTCATGTACAAGCAAAATTAAGTGTTTAGAAGCGCCCGGTGGAATTTTGGCGCGAAATCCCGGAAACAGCAAAAGCTAGAACGCTGAAACTTTAAAGGAATGTTCCTCACTCATGTACGAACAAAATCAGGTGTTTTGGAGCGGCCGGGGCCCAAATACAAACGCGTGGAAATTTTGGCGCGAAAATTGCTAACCTGGGAGCGGGAAAAGCTAGCAAGCTGAAACTTTGCGGTAATGTTCCCTGTTTACGTACGACCAAAATCAGGTGTTTAGAAGTGTTCGGGGCCCACGTGCGTGCACGCGGAAATTTTTTGGCGCGAAAATCACTAACCCAGGAACAGGAGAAGCTAGAAAGCTGAAACTTTGGGGGAATGTTCTCTACTCATGTACGAGCAAAATTAGATGTTTAGAAGCACCTGGGGCCCACGTTCAGGCACATGGAAATTTTGGCGCGAAAATCACTAACTTGGGAACGGGAAAAGCTAGAAGGCTGAAACCTTGGGATAATGTTCCCTACTCACGTATGACCAAAAGATTTTAAAGCTCCTTAAAATCTTCCGGTAATCACGTACGGACAAGTGAAAATTTTGGTAGGAAAACTGCCAATTCGAAAACGAGATAAGCTGAAGGCTTTAATTTTAAGGAAATGTTCCCTGCTTATTTGCGACTAAAAGATTTCGAATTTAACTCTTCTATTGTGGCCTTTTTTGCGGGCCAGTACCTTTCCATTTGCCGGGTCATTGAAGCCGACATCTACAACTGACACACCACATAGTTGCACAATCAACTTTCCGAATTTCGTGGGCCAGTATGTCACAGGGTTAGCTGCTATGATTCCTTGCGATTTTGCTACGGCACGAAAAGTGCAAAAACGCATAATCGCACTGGCTCGCCTGGTGCGTCCCAGCCTGGGTTTTTAATCAGTTAAGGTGCATAAATTCAGTGTCTGTAGGTATAACTTGTTTCTTTTCATCACAGTCCGTTTTGTCCTTCATGTGCAGATGAGGGCATTACTAAAACTCAGTTCACTTTGGCCAAGCGGGGGAAGAGCCGAGTTGTGGTGGTTGGCGCGGTAGAAGTAGAGGTGAGTGATAAGGAATGCTGGTCAGATCATGGGGGTTGCAGCAGAGAGAAAAAGCGTAGGATACTGACTGAAGAGGATTTGTGAACTTGCATCAAAATGGGAACTGGAAATGTGAGCAGAGGTTATAGGGGGAATGTTGTATGCGTTTATGATGCTTAGTAAGAAACAGGATACTGAGTTAAGATTGCTAATTTTGTGAGCAACAACTGGAATCTCATCGGCGACCTCGTACTGGTAAGCAACTTGAGATCCGCAACTCGCAATAATACCTACAATCGAGTGATTACTGCGCATCCGAGCCGAATTTTAACGAGCGCTCAAACAAGAGGAATTAGCAGTCGCATTCTCTGCGGCAAATGCATAAGCACTGAAACCGATATATCCTGAACAAATCTTAAGATTTCTGATTTGTAGCGGTAGATGTCCAATATCGTTGCTGTATGTTTCATAAAAAACTGCGAAAGAAACATCAGAATTTTTGAGAGTTCATATAATTTTCGCAAAACTTCGGCGCTGATTGTTGTATAAATCGCATATTGCAGAAGAAGGACGTTTTATTGCTATGGATTTGGGTGGTACCAACCTGCGCGTAATGCTTATGGACATTATACCTGGTGAGGACCTGAGAACAGAACAGTTCAATACACGCATACCCAACTGGGCAATGCATGGCACTGGGGAACAGGTCGGTGGTTGCTATTTAGTGTGATAACAGTTAGTAGCCTGATCTGATTTTTCACTGTGAATATAATCGAAATGTATATCAGCAAATAAACAAAACTGAAAAGCAGGTAAAAAATTTTTGACAGTTAGATATACTGATATATATATATACTGAGCAGAAGGAGGAGAAAAGTCTAAAGCTACGCATGTACGGTAATTCTAATTCGCTTCGAAAAATATACAAATTAAGATTACAATTCGATTCGCATTCCTAATGAAAAGCAAAAAGTTTTACATAATCAAGACTGGTAGTATCGTGAACCAATTCAGTAGATATGAACTGGAAGGAAATCAAACCACTCCTTTTTGCATCCGGACGCAACTTGCTATCCATTACGCTACCGGTCCGCATGCTTTACGATCAGCCTGGTAGCATATTTACTGCGCATCTGCCTTGCAAAGCAGAATACACCTTTCTTTTCTTCTCTGCTTCCCATAAGCAATTTTCATCTTTTTCTTTGTGGTGACTTCCTTTTCGCGGACTTTCTGCGGCAGATAATTACTAATACAAGCGTTTATTTCCTTACTGAATTCCAAATTAGCTGATTTGCTGCACTGAAGTAATTAGTGGGAAAATAATTTCCAGCATAAACTTATTTCTGTTGCGACAAACACTAATGGTAATATCCATGGGGTTTTGAGACACTCAACACCAGAATTTTTCTTAAAACGAGCGCTGATTTTAGCTGCAATAACAATGCCCGTTTCTTTTTTTTTTTCACTGCCTGAAATAAATTAACAAAATAGGAAGCGAGGATCATTATGGTGCGGGAACGTCAAATTCGTTATGTGCGTCTCTTTTGCATCTCTGCAGCTGATGACTATCTACTTGTCACTATTCTACCCCTTATTCGCCAACATATTGCTAGTTTCTTTTTTCAGCTTTTTGATTTTATTGCGAAATGCTTGGCGGAATTCCTGATTGAGAAGGGTGTGGAAAAAGATGGTTTGCCAGTTGGATTTACATTTTCGTATCCATGCGACCAGAAAAGTCTGCGTTCCGCCACCCTGCTCAGGTTTGGATAAAAAATTATTTTTTAAAAATTTTGCACATGTTTACGATTTCAGTTTCCTTTCGTAAAATTTATTCTTCAAACCCTGCACTGAGAAATTTTTTTAAAAAAACGAAAAAATTGAAGATGGACGAAGGGCTTCGAATCGTCGGGAGTTGTCGGCGAGGATGTGGTGCTGCTCCTTGAGAAAGCCATCAACAAACGCGGTGTAAGCTTTTTGCCAGAGAATATCATTCATTTTGTCTGTATCGCTGTCACTCTCAAAAAATCAAACCGGGAAATTTCTTCGCCGTTTTTAAAATCATCTTATTAAAAGCAGTAATTTTTACTCATTCTTATTAAGCGGATGTCAATTGTTCAGTTAGGATGGGAGGTTGCACCAAATATACTCAACAGTGCTAATTTTAGCCAGAACCTCGCAAGAATAGGCTAAAAGCTAAATAAGAATTTTAGAAACAAAGTATTAGTTTGGCTACATGATGAGGAAAAATAAGGACGGGCCAGAATTTCCTATCTAGAAATATTAATTCGAAGTTGCATTTCCTGACTTTTCGGGTTCCGGACGTCCTGTTTTCGGAAGCCGTCGCAAGACTTATGAGTGAACATTTGAGTAGCAAATTGTTCTACCTTGTGCATTGGCTAATCCAGATGGAAATGTTGTTCGTAAAGCAACAGACGTGTGAAATGCGGCTACACTGTCAATCCAACGGTGGATCCGACACGGCCAGGGTTGTTCTATTCTGACGAGGAAATCAAATCGTATTTCAACAAAATTTGCTTCCAAGCAAAACTATGCGTAAATGCGTTTTTCCCAGAGGTAAACGAGAGATATGTGACAGATTCGATTCCACGCACACCATTAGTAATCCTGATAAATACAGACAGAATTCAGTCTTATAATGTTGCAGGGGAATTCTCTCCCTCACAATATTTCATGTTCAGATGCGTCCCTGGAACTTTTTCTCAATTGATTCATCTTTTATAGTTTTTCAATTTTTCTCATCATACGTTGTCCATTTTTTAGGACATCAACGTGCAGGTGGTTGCTTTGATCAACGACACGGTTGGCACGATGGTGGCTGCCGCGCATCAGGCTGGCGGTGAATGCCATATCGGTGCCATTATCGGTACGCGCATTCTAGACCGCAAAAATTGTCGGATCAGTTGTTATGGACATCATGACGTGCAGTGATGTTATAACTGAAAGCCACAACGTAAACAGGATCTTTTTTGAGACTTTTTCGGGTGCGGTAAATTTGAGAGGGAAATCACAGTTTGGTTTACGTTTTTCCGAACCAATAATTAGCAAAAGTTTGTTGCTGTTTCAGCGTGGCGCGGTCTGCCTTCCTATGCTTAAATATGCTGAAGATTGAAATTTATATGAATATTTTTGACGAACTCGCTATCAGAAAGCAAGACTGACTTATGTTCTGACGTAGCTGAAGCAATCAGAATTTTTTCACGGGTGGGCAGTCAAGGGCGAAGTTGTTTAAGAGGGGAACAGAGGGTGCGAAAAATCGAATTTTTGGAAATTTTTGGTAGAGGGTGTTACAGTCCTTGGGTAAACAGCTTAACAATTATTTGATTTTATTGATTATTTCGGTAAGCAACAGCATCCAAATTTTTGCGTGCCTGCAGTGTGTTCTAATTAAGACTTAAAACTCATTGAAGAGGCGAGGCATGCCTATGTGAGTGCCTGTTTAATCTCACGTCTGAATTTAAGCAAAATCTATAGCCCCAAAACTAAATTAGGAAAAACTTTTGACAGTTTAGATAGCCAAAGACCGTAATTGACTCTCGGATCGCGTTGTGCTCAAAATTCAAGCGAATTTTATTGGAAAATTGAGGAAAAAACAAATTTGAGACTTTGATGGGATCAGAAAGCTACTGTTATGCGTCTTTTCGCTGAGAGATATAACTAAGTGATAGGGAATGAAGTCTGTTTGTTCAGCAACGGGTACCAATGCATCGTATATGGAAGATGTGTCCCAAATTAAGTACGGCCTGTCAAAGGCAGTCGTGGATTATCCTTATCCGCAGATGATTATCGATACCGAGTGGGGCGGTTTTGGCGACCGCTCAGAAGCAGATTATATCTTTACTCAATACGACAAAATTATTGATAGCCGCTCAGAACATCCCGGTGTCAATACGTAATATTTTAAATTGATAAATACTTATGATTTTTCGATTTTTTTTTGCAAAGCGTATTATTTGGGAGCCATTTTTATTTCGATAAATGTTCACGAACTATCCAGTAAAGGCAGGAAGGCGTGTACTAGGTAATTCCGATTAAGCTAAGGGAAGGAAGAATACTGAGCAAGATTGTGATAATTATAATTACAAAAATGTTGGGATGAAGTTGCAAACGCTTTTGCATTCGACCGACTTGGTGGCCAAAAAAACTGGCTGCACGAAACGTATGATCGAAAGCATCTCCAGAGAATTCGTCTTGTTTTCCTTCAAGTGAAACTCACTTTTTCGGTCAAAGTGAGTTCAGTATCAAAATTTTGCTCATTGTTTGTAAAATTTTCTTAGTTTTGCGAATATTGGACTAATTTTTAGAACTTTTTTTCATTACCTTTCAGATATTATGTAAAATGTTGCGCAGTTTTCTGTTGCAGTTTTGATAAGCTTGTTGGCGGAAAATGCATGGGTGAAGTAGTGCGCCTCGTTCTGGAGAAGCTTACTCGAGCTGGTGTTCTTTTCGATGGAACTGGTTCGGAGACTCTGTTCGAGCAGGATTCTTTCCCAACTAAATACATTTCTGAAATTCTTAGGTAGATTTTATTTTTGATAGGCTTGTTGGTCCCATAAAGGATTATTCCGGAACAGCAGCTACTGCATGACACCTAACAGATGTACAGCCTTTCAGGAAGAGTATAATTCTCGTTTCTTTGAATCTCACAACATTTCTAAACATCAGTTTTACTACCGCCATATTAAGTACTGCCGGAAGTGGTGTAGTGGCAGTTAGTGTCTCAGTTTTAGTTTGATTTTGTCCGTTAGATAATTCGCTTATCCTCTTGGATGCTAAACTGGTGCTGGTATAGGTCAAGAGGTCAAGGCCATCATTGGCTTGTTTATAAGCAACCTTTGGAAGAGAGGAGGACCTATCGACAGCTCAGCAATCGACTGGTTGCGGTTGGCGTTTGCTACCACTTGTGCTACTCCCAGCCGTTCGACCACTCGCAGAGAGTGAGTCACGAAGGAGTTTCATTTTCAGTTAAGAATGACGAGCCAGTATGATTATTTTGGTCGAGCGGGCAAGCACTTACTATATGATCTGCTTATATAAGGCAGGATTGATCACTAGGATGGTAGTACTGTATCGATGCCGGTGTGTACGCATTAGTGTCGCACAGGGATCGTTAAGGAAGGACACGGCAGCAGCCGCAGCGCAGTTGAGAGTAATCGTGTTTTTTGTATAAGGGAGCTGTTAAGGACTGTAGGGGATCATGTGTTATACTGAAAGCTTTTTTTGGTTTCGGTTGAATAAAGACTTGGTTTTACCGGGTCCACCAAAGCAGCAGATGGAAAATTATATTCCAGTGAGCTCTTTCAAAAATTTGTCATTTGCGTTCTTATTCTCGAGCAGCACTTGCTACTCCAGAAATATTTAAAATTATCTTCACTTACCATGGAGAGCGAATACGGAGGGGTTTCTGACTTTTGGTTTTGACTTTGTTTTAGAATGCCCTGCTACCTTTTCTCATTGAAAACGATTCACTTTAAAATATACCGGCTCGAAAATAATCCTACATAACTCTGTTGTTATAATTTTGGTGATTTTGACAAGGTGTTTTGGGCAAGACCACATTTCTACTTTTCCGAGTTTTCGGTTCTTATGCGATGTTCCAGAATTTTGCGCAGCAGTGCTAATTCTCAGCAATCGCGCTGAAGTTGAGAAATGTTTAATTTAAGCGATGAAAGTGGTTCGTATATAAATACGAGGCAAATCATGGGCGAATTGGGAATTGACCACTGCACCTTCAGCGACATGTTGCTTCTGCGAGAGGTTTGCGCCGTCGTATCTCGTCGAGCTGCTAATCTTGGTGCTGCAGGTGATTTTTACCTGATCGTTTTTTTCTGAAAAGTGGCAATGTGCATTAGAAGGCTAGCACCATTTAAAAATTTTTTGCTAGAAGCCAGTTGATGAAAAAAGCAGCATGTAAAAAAATTTATCATGATGGCCTTTCAACCCGATATCCAGCGAAGGTAGGAATCTGGAAAAGGCATAATACATAAAAAGTAGAATGGAACAGCGGAATGAGTCAGTGGCATGCATAGCCTTTAGCAAATGAAAACCGCATTTCCAGCAAAAGTGCCATAAATTTACTTTTAAGCAGCTTCCGGAAGAAAGAGAGAATCGTTGGCAGCCTTGCCAGTGCGTTCTTCTATTGGCAAACTGCTGTTTACTGAAGCTAGTTGCAATTGTCTCTGTTTCATATACAGAGCTTGAAAGAATTATTATTAATGAGAGGTTATTTGCATTTGCATGGCTCAAATTCGAAATATTATTGGGCGGATATTACAGCTATTGCATGCGTACTGAATCGCGTGCGAAAACCAAACATGATTGTTGGAATAGATGGAAGCACTTACAAGTATCACCCATTCTTTGATTTTTGGGTCAACGACAAACTGAAGGAACTTGTTGATCCCGGCCTTAAAGTAAGTGCCCTGCTTTCAGTACTGGTGGAATGGATTTTTCTGTGAGAGATGAGAATCATATTTGTAGAATAGCATTTCGGATGTTCTGTCTAGGTCTATTAACGTTCTGACAGAAGCATACCATTGTCAGTGTAATCTGACACTAATTTTCAGGGAAGAAATGTTTGCCTTCAGCTAGTAAGTAGCATCTATAGTGCGTCTAATGATCATCTGTTTGAAAGTTATCTGAGTTAATCTTCGGTTTTCGTGTACCACTGGTACTTGAGGGTTGACAACAATGTCAGTAAAATTAAGTGTCGAGCAAGTTTTACTGTTCGTTGCATTCACAATGATATCCTTGCGCGAGACTGACCGTATTATCGCCTTAGTGTTCTTCACTTTGCCGCTCATTCTGACTTTGTTTTTGTTTCGTTTAAATTTTAATTTTTTGAATAATGTCTGATAAGACTGGAATCAATTTTATTACAGTTCAAAGTACTACAAACAGGAGATGGTAGCGGTAAAGGTGCTGCACTGATCACAGCAATTATATCACGCCTGGACAAGAAGAAAAAACAGCAGAAGGAAGAGGGCGATACCAGTATTCAGCTGAATGAAAACGTGGAAAAGCCTGGACCTACTCCAGAAATGGAAAGTGATAACCGAACAACAGATGAACTTTTCAACGGGCAAGAAATTCCCGATGATGAAATAAGATTGTCGTCGCTTTAGAACTAAGGTGCTTCAGCTACTATAGTAATCTAACTGGTCCGTATAACAGCGTTTCTGAAGGTAGTTTTCGATTTTACGCAAATGCAGAAACGTATATTGTCGAAAGTCTGTGTATATTCGTAAAAGCGAAAGAACTTTATCACCATTTTCAACTCAGCAACGAGGAAAGCTAGGAGGCTACTGTTTGGGGAACATTTCTCACCCTATATGTCACCCAGTCGTTTTAAATTCATCGATCATGTGGTCCTTAGGTCTCACGTACGGATTCTTAAAGAATATTGTAGCTTTTTGGGTGGAAAAACAATCTTGGAAACTAGCAAACGTTTGAAATTGAAACTTTGCGGAGATATTTTTTGCCCTTGTGTTCCTATTTATAGGCTCATTCTTCCTAGAAAAGAGGCGCTTTTTGTTTAAATACTCATACTTTATTGTAAGCTGCTCATGTTGCTTTCGTGTACAAATGTTATTTTTTATTATCTTAATTTCTCACAACTGTTCTAACTGCATGTATTACCAGAAAAACGGTCATTTTTTATGGTTTTTTTCTGGAAGACGGCCTTTTTCATCCGGCCGTCCTTTTCATTTCTTGTGTCAGTGTCACGAAAATACGGGTACCTGGCGAGAATTGATTTCCGGTGTATCCTGAATCTCATGCAGTGCAACATCACTGCGCATAAAGTGTATGGCGCGACAGGTCATTTTTTCACGACCACTGAGCTTTTTCAAACCTTTTCGATTTTCACTGCTTTCGTGACTGCATTCTGGAATGGTGCTGGACTAATCGAAAATGTTGCTTTTTGTGCGTTTTTGCCTGTATGCAAGTTGCAAAAACGCATAATGCAACGACCCCTGTCTGTGTGTATATATTTGTGTGTGTATGTGTGTGTGTGTGTGTGTGTGTGTGTGTGTGTGTGTGTGTGTGTGTGTGTGTGTG